TTTCGGTTTTGGAGCTTCTAAACGGAAAAACACTACTTCAGCTTACGGTATCCGGTTGCGGTTCTAGTTCTTATACCCAATCAAACACACGACATCTAGTCATATTTGACACCAAAATGACAAACCAAGCTTCTTATTTCCTCTCAAAGCTTTGTGGGTATGGCCGAAGTCCTATGAGTTTTCAGTTTTGGAGCTTCTAAACGGAAAAACACTACTTTAGCTTACGGGATCCGCTTGCGGTTCTAGCTCATATACCCAATCATACACACGAGATCTAGTCATATTTGACTCCAAAATCACTAACCAAGCTTCTTATTGCCTCTCAAAGCTTTGTGGTTATGGCCGAAGTCCGATGAGTTTTCGGTTTTGGAGCTTCTAAACGGGAAAACACAACTTTAGCTTACGGGATCCGGTTACGGTTCTTCTTCATATACCCAATCATACACACGAGATCTAGTCATATTTTACTCCAAAAACACTAACCAAGCTTCTTATTGCCTCTCAAAGCTTTGTGGTTATGGCCAAAGTCCTATGAGTTTTTGGTTTTGGAGCTTCTAAACGGAAAAATACTACTTTAGCTTACGGGATCCGGTTGCGGTTCTAGGTGTTATACCCAATCATACACACGTGATCTAGTCATATTTTACTCCAAAACCAATCGGAAAATTGGAGACTGAGCTATTATTGCTAGCTCATTGCGCAGCCTTCTAGAGGCTGTGAATGGCTCTAGAACAAGTGAACATTGAACAACTAACATGAACATGATGCTTTTTTTTTTGTCTATTTTGATTTTCAAAACGTTTTCATCCAAAAACCATCAAAAATACCAATTAGAAATAATTTTGGTTTTCAACAAGATGGATGTTGTCTAATTTTGTTAAGTCTGGTTTTCAACATTGCTTAAATTTATTTTTTGGTTAATTAAAAATATCAATTGGTTTAATCTAATTTTAGTTTAGTCTAATTGAAAACCGGATTAATTTTTCAGATTAATCAAATTCTAAATTAATTGCCGTTCTAACATCGATTTGGTTTGGTTTAAATCCACTTTATATTAAACTGATCTAATTTTGGGTTAATTTTTATTTTTTTTTACCAATTGGTCTAATCCAATTTTAGTTTCATTTAATAGAAAACCAAATTGATTTTTCAGTGTATTCAAAATCCGACCGTCTAATATCGATTTGGTTTCGTTTGGTTTAGATCCAATTTATATTAAACCGTTTTAATTTATATGTTAAGTCAAACTTTAATGTTGACTTTGACTTAACCCGGTTTAATCATATTCATTGTTTACATAAATATGAGATTAAATCTCTAAATCTCGGTTTGACCTTGTAGTTTATGTCTGATTTAACGTCTGATTGCTTCTTATAATATATGTTTATGAAATTGATTGCAATATTTGTTTAATGTTAATCATTGTACTTGCATAATAATAATTCTACATGATGATGTGTAATCTTGCATAAAGATTACACAACAGAGCACAAACCACCAGATTCTAAACTCTAAGAGCATGGTCATAGGTGATACTCATAAAGTATCATTAAGAATTCTTTTAGGAGATGCCACATCAGATTTTTTTTTCCCCTTTTCTTTTGGTAAAACGCGACCAATTAGGAGATGCCACGTCAGATGATACTAGTATCAAAAGTACCACTAGGCTGATATGGATCAGGCCCATTCTAATTTTTTTGTCTATATAAAAATAATTTCTGGGCTTGTGATACTCTAAAAATATCACCCATTTACATGGTCTAAACTCACTTTGTCCTTTGTTGTTTTTGTTTGATATCTCTCAACCAATCCTTGCATTCATCTGCTAAGCCTCTAGGATAAGCTAGTTGCCATGTGAGCACTGTCTGTTGCCATTCACGCATGACGGATCCTCCACGAAGATACGCAATTTTCACGATCTCTCTGCCATTAACAAAAGGTTTGATAGATATATTTATCGCGTCTTGTCCAGTTTGAAATCCACTTTCCCGATTTCTTGATCTTCGTTTATGCCGTCAAACATAGACAACAACAAAGACGTTCATAGTGCAACACGCCACAAGTCTTTAATTTCTCTAAGAATAAACTCTGTGAGTACTCTTAGTCTTGAAGTTACTGGGACCTCTAGATCAAGAACATCAGTGGCCGAATCAAGTATAACATTCATTTTTCAACTGAAGGGGACTAAACAACGGTATCATTCTCTCTGTGGTACGGTGTATAGTCATAATCGTTTCAGCGTCAATAGTCTTCCGCTTCATGGAGAATTCAAAGATGTGGTTGACAACAGAAACCGATTTACCTTTATCGTCCTTGTAAACGGTTTTTTCGAAAAGGAAGAAACAGAGCAGTATATAGAGTAAGTCTTCTTTCTTCATCACTGAACTTACATAACCCAAGTTCTTGAATGAGACTCCACATAGCCTCCAATAACCATTCTCTTTAGCCGTACCAAATTTCAAGTCCGGTAAGCATTCTCTTTCTGCTTATGGTTGAAGTCCGGTAACCGTAGGAGAGACGTTCTCTCCTATAAGCATTCTCTTTAGCCGTACCAAATTTTATAGTAGGAATACGACTATTTTCTGTATACTCTTCCACTACAAGAAAAATGAGCTTCGGTAACACAAGGAATATGCCAAAGGGATTTCGTAGCGAAACTACAAACGCTGTATAATGAGGAGCTACAGTAGACCCCCCACCTACCGTAGCATTTTTTACGCGCTATCGTAGATTGACCTATTATGGCGCTAGAAGCTCGCTACTTAATACTTTTAACTAGCGCTTTGTTTTTGCTGTTATGTTTGTTTATATAGCAATTTCTTTGAGCTGTGAAATATTTAATGATAACACATTATATATGCTGGTGGATATTGTTTCGTGACATTATGGTTCTCGAATTTAACACTGTAGTAGCACAAAAGCTTTGCTATAGAAAAGTTTTATATAGCTCTGTTTTTGTGCCATAGGATAGTGTTATATAGCGCTTATGCTATGTTATAGGAGAGTGTTATATAGCGCATTTGTTTTGCTATTGTGTAGTTTTTAATGGCTACTATACATTGCCATAACATCATTTACAATAGCATTTATCAATTGTGGTTTAATAATGTTTTCAAGCTTTTTTTTAGTGCTATAATATTAGATTTCTTGGCTGAGAAATTTCTGTTTATATTGCAATTTGAATCTATATAGAGTTGCATCAATATAATTTGTTATTTGAAACATTGAATTGCACAAAATGTAATTAGCTTTAATTTATGAAAGACCATGAATCATAAAATATCATATTACATAAAGTTAACTTAACAAAGTCTAAAGATAACATGAACTAACTAAACATTAACTACAAAAACATGAAATCTCATGCCATTATTATTCAACCAGTCTTGCGGTATGAGGATTCTCCTTTCTCCACTCTTGGACGTTTCTTATCAGTGTTGTTCCTCGCACATAGCTTTCTTATTGCCTCAATGTCTTCTTCCTCTAGTTCCATGCGTGTATCAATGTATTCTTCGATGCGTATTAAGTACCCTCGGTGAGCACAAGCCCGTCTAAAGTCTATCTTTGTTATCTCCTTCAGTTCATCATCCGCATCGGTTTGTTGATCGTTCTTTGCTTGTTGTTGTATCTGTTGTCTGAATTTTGGTACAACGTTCTTAGCGGGGAGGCCGCATATGAGTCCTTGTTGTATCTGTTGTCTGAATTTTGGTACAACGTTCTTAGCGGGGAGGCCGCATATGAGTCCTTTACCTTCCATTTATCACAAGAACCTGACAATGAAAAGGTTAAAATCTTTAAAAGTCTTTATGAACAAAAGAATATGCAAAACACCATCAACAATCTCAACAAACAAAATATTAACAAGAACCTGTTTTAATATGTCTTAAATCTAATAAGATTGACTATCAGTGTTGGATTCTATTGAATATCTGCAAGAAACCTAATTCCAAACTGAATCAGTAACTAATCCATCGCAATACTCATTGATCTACTTCAACAAACAATAAATGAAAGTCCAGATTTCATTGTGAAACATAAACTATTAAGATTCTTGAAACCATCTCTGACAGGGCATTCGAGAAAGCAAAATAGCGACAGCAAAAAACAAAGATTCAGCGATGATTCGAAAAACAAGCAATAGAAAGAGAGAATAAAACCTTTAGTTTCGGCAATGATTTTTTGTTGTGTTTGGCGATGGTGACAAAGATGAGATGATCTCCTCTTAGATTCAATCGATCTGTGTTTTTTTTTTTCGTGTTTGGTCTCGAGATTGAGATTGAGTTTATTGGGTTAGCTTTGAAGAGATCGAGTAATGAGAGAGAAAAGTTAATTAAAACAGATCTAATTATTGACCGTTAGATTTATTCTAATCAACGGTAGATATGAATAATTAGGTGATCCACACCTTAATCAATTAGCCAATCAACGGTAGATATGAATAATTAGGTGATCCACACCTTAATCAATTAGCCAATGAGATAATTTGTTCACGATTTGTATGTTATTAGTATAGTATTTTGTTATTTTTCTTTGTATTAATTTTGGAATATGGTGTAACAATTAAATAAAAATTAAAGTTTCATATGGTAAAGTTTAATTTAAGATTTAAAATTATATTTTTACATTGTTAATTTCATGTTTCATATATTGGTGTAGAATGCTTTCAACTAAGAGATTTAGGGTATAAGGTTTAGGGTATAGGGTTTGGGGCTTATATCTTATATTATTACATGATATAAAGATTTATTTATAATGCTAACTAATATTAATAATTCATAATTATGTACAAATATACATAGTATTAGATTTTTACATTGTTAATTTCATGTTTCATATATTGGTTTAGAATGCTTTCAACTAAGAGATTTAGGGTATAGGGTTTAGGGTTTAGGGTTTAGGGTTTATAACTTATATTACTATATGATATAAAGATTTATTTATAATGCTAACTAATATTAATAATTCATAATTATGTACAAATATACATAAAATTATATTTTTACATTGTTAATTTCATTTTTCATATATTAATAATTCATAATTATCTTATTTTTAAAAATTTTCTCTACACTATTTGAATTATTTATATATTGATTTTTACATTGTATATATCCAAATTTTTAGATATCGACTAATAACATATCTAAATTTTTGAAATTTGGCTTATTAACATATCGACTAAGTATATCTCAAAAATTTTAAAAACAAAAAATTAAGTAACTTGTCCCATTTAAATTATCTGAAACATAGAATTTCTGATTCAACATAACAATGCAAAATAAAAACAAAGGGATCCAAATAACCATTGTAAGACACAAAATAACACAAAGTAGTCAGGTCTTTAAACTCAAAAACACGTTCTCCCATCTGAAACATCACTTGTCCTCATTCTCCATTACAATTTTACCTTCTGGCCAGGCAACACAAGTTCCATGTGCATCTGCCATACACTCGATTGCAGGGGTTTGCCTCCAAACCTCAGCATCAGGTTCAATCACAACATCCACCCATACGCGACAAGCATTAGGCCCCAGTTTCTTGTGATGTACCTCTTGGTCAGGATTACTAGACGACCAACGGCCTTCAGCAACAACACGATCCATTCCGGATATATCCATCAACTTGCATTTTTGATTTTCTTTGAAGGCGAGACGCTTCAAGAACAACCAGCAAAAAAGATAGACAGAAATCAACCACAAGCAAAAAAAAAGATAGCCAGAACTCAACAAGATAGAACAATCACAACCAATCATGATCCTTAAAGCCATACAACAAGAACAACCAGCAAAAAATGAATACAGAAATCAGCAACCAGCAAAGATTAAAGCCATACAACAAGAACAACCACAACCAATCATGTACCTGTGATTTGCGACGAGGAGATGCCCCTGTCAGAGATGGTTTTGTTTTCAATAAAGGTTTCTTCAAAGGAGCTTTTGGAGTTTCTGGAGACTTGTCCTTCTGAGAACTTGGACTTGCTGAGTTAGTCGAAGATATAGGACCATTAGGAGATTTAGAAATTACAGGAGACATCGCCTTATGAGATCTTATGCTTCCTCCCTTAGATGTAGATTGTTGAAGAACAGGGGATTCAGTCGATGTTGTCTCAATCACAACTCTATTTGCAGGCCATGCTATAAAACAGTTCAAAGATTCCTGCAGAGTTCTCATGTCCGCTGTAGGCCTCCATAGCCATGTCTTTGTGTTTAAAACCGAATCCACATAAACTTTGACTGCATTTGGACCAATAGGAAGTCCATTTACCAACGCACTCCGTTCTCGAGACTGCCATCTGCCTTCAGCTACAACTTCATCATTCTTACCCAAAGCCTTGAGTTTGCATCTGTTTTTTGAACTTGTGCTAGGGCTCTGTGGAACAAAGGTACAAAACAGGAAGAAGGATTATTGAGAAAGTGTGATCTACATACAAAAAACAATTAATAAAAGATACTTAACCTTAGGTGCAATGTCTTCTGCAATGCCACCTTCGCTTGGAACAATACATAAATCGGGATCCCATGCAATCATTTCTCCAACTGCATCCTCAATAGTAGTCATCTTAGGTATAGGTCTCCATAATGGAGCTTCTGGTTTGGTAGCAGATTCAATAAAAACCTTAACTGCATAAGGCCCTAAAGGTATCCCATGTACTAATTCATCAGCATCATAAGAAACAATACGGCCCTCAGCAACATTATCATCAGAAGAAGTCCAGTCAACCAAATTACACTTAGTAAGTGTTTTGGTATTTACACTCTTATGTATAGAGTTTTCACCAACATCACCCTCTTGTCTCTGCAATTTCAGAAACATATCAACATATAGTATATATAACTTATTAAATATTATATCAGTACACAATGTGTATATAGTATACTAACCTGATCATAAATTTTTTCAATAATTTGCTCTAAATCCTGAATTCTATTCTTCATTTGAACCTGATCTGCTTCCATTGCAGCCATAGAGTTTATGTTGACTTGGAAACAAGAAAGTTTGGTCAAGCTCATGCCTCTGCCCATTGCCCGTAGTCTTCCAGGATTATCAGGTCCCAAAATTTGACTAAGTATATCTTCCTTTGGATTTGTTGTAGCTGAATCCTGAGTACCTTTAATTTCTAGCTCGGTTGCCTTTCTCTGCAAACAAATAACATAGTAATGTACATCACTCATTAATGATGACCAATATATTAAGTAATTTAAGAAGAATAAACATAACATACAATCAATTCAGCTGCCTCTGTAGTTACAGGAGTACCATCCTTCTTGGTCCGTGACTCGACCCACACTTTTGCTCTTGTCACCTGGGATGGGTCTGAGCTTGCCTCGATTAATTCTTCTCTCTTTCTGACCATTCCTTTACGGCCAAGGCAATGAGGAATCTGCAGCTTCCTTTTCTTCTTCATAGAATCACTTACTACCTTAAATGCATTACTAGTCTTCTCTTTTATAAACTTACGCCATTCGGGTTCAGTTATATTAGGTGGTCGCAGATCCATCCTATCTTTCATGTTATCAGCTCCTCTGACCGCTGAAACAAGGCGTGATTTGGAGGATCTCCATATATCTCTCATCTGAACAAATGCAGCTCTTTTCTTCCATGGTTGGTCAAGATCAAACCTTAGCTGCATTCAAATGAATCATTTAAAATCAGAAATTACACAAAGCAATTCTAATTAAAAGAAGCAACATGTAAAAGTAAATTACAGAATACCTCAATAGATCTCCACAAAACAAGTTTGATATCTTCACTTACTTTCCTCCAATCCCGGATTGTGTAAGGAACATGTTCCCGTACTATTGTACCTAAATATGATGCAAACGGTACTGACCCTGGACCACAAGGTTCTCCCATGATAGTATAATCCACGTGAACCTTTTCACTTGGATCCTTGGCGATGTTTTTCATCTTCGTTGGTCCTCGTTTCCTTTTACGCTTTGGTTCAGCAATATTTTCAGCAACTGTCTGAGAATGATCTTCATTGTAAGCAGCAGCATCATCATCAACTGGTTCAACTATATTGTCTTCATTGTCTTCATCATCATTCTCTTTACCTTCTAACTGAGCATCCACTTCATTAAGTTCATGTACTTGCTGTTTTTGAGAAGTGTCATCATCTTGTAAATCAGCATCATCTTGTAAATCAGCATCCTCTTGTAAATCAGCATCCACTCCATTACACAGATTTTGAGTTTCACACTGATCCTCTACTAATTCCTGAGTTTCCAACTGCTTCTCCTCTATCTCGGCAATCTTCTTCTTTTTTTGTGAACGCCTTTTTCGAGTAGTGTTGACCATCTTAGTTCACCTGAAACAAAAGAAATCACTTGATTATCAAAACAGATACTTGTTTAGAAAACAAAAATCATTCACAGAAAACACACATTCTAAGCAATCATAAATACAAAATAACAATCACATATGGTATAATTTCACACATAAATCCCTTCACAGTCAGCTCGGGCATTCATAGCTTCATCAGCCAAGTCATCTTCATCCATGTCAACTAATACAGGCAATGGCCCAACATCCGCAGTTCCAGATTCAGTATCTTCTGCACTGTATCTTCTCTTAGAACTTCTCATAGCTACATACCAACTCGATGAATCATCTACCCTTGAATAAAAAACTTGATGTGCTTGAGATGCTAGTATGTATGGATCTTTAGCAAATGCAGTTTGACTTTGGTTAAGGTTGACAAGTGTGAATCCATCTTCTTCCTTTACTCCATTACCTATATTTGCCCATTGGCACCTGAATATAGGAATGTAGAAGACATTGTAATCAAGCAGTATAATATCCACCACTCTGCCATAGTAAGACACAACATCAACCATTGGAGAATTGTCTTTTGCACTAGCTATACACATTGCTGTGGCCTCATGCAACACACCAGAGTTCTGAGTTTCCCTATCAACCGTAACTGTATGAAACCGATTGCCATTGACTATGTAACCCGTGTAAGACCTTGCATGAAGACGAGGACCATATGCTAACCACTTAAGTATATCTTCATGATCAGAAGTCATAGGTATCTGTTGTAAAATTTGGCAAATGTCATTTACTATATTGTAAAAGAATAGATGATAAAAAAAAAAAACCAATTCTAATAGTTAACATACCTGTTCTTTTAACCAGGCTGCAAATGTCTGAGAATGTTTACGCCATAAAAATGCAGAATCACGGCAACATCTTTCACTAGAATCTTGTAGATGTTGCAGGTGCATGCTAAAATTAAAACACAGAAAATATTGATTAAATGTAAATACAACAATATTATAAAAGAGACTGTTAGTAGAAGAACTTACTCCACATAAGGATCAAGCAGAGCCATATTATGAATGACAGCAAGATGTGCTATGTTCTTCTCATTCTCAGTAAAAGTACATGAAGTAGGTGCTGATATAGGACGACCCTCCAAGATAGTGCAGTTCTCATAATCAGAATTTCTTTCAATTTTCTCATCAACATTTGTTGTCTTTTTCAAGAAATCACTGCAGAACCGCACACACTCCTCAGCGAGATATGCTTCAGCAATACAACCCTCTGGTCTTGCCGTGTTTCTTACAAAGTCCTTCAGAACTTTCATGTACCTGCATATAAAAAACATGTAACTGATAAGCATAAAAGTATATTGTAAATGATACAAATTTATAAGTTATTAGATTGTACCTCTCAAATGGGTACATCCAACGAAAATGAACTGGTCCACATAACCGAGCTTCCCTGCCTAAGTGAACTGTCAAATGCACCATTATATCAAAGAAACTTGGAGGAAAGAACCTCTCAAACATGCAGATAGTTTCCACAATTTCAAGCTCCATTACAGCAATTGCCTCTCTATCAATCACTCGCTGACACAGTTTGTTGAAGAAAGCGCATAAGCGTCCAATAGCTATCCTAACACCTTTAGGTAACAAACCTGTAAGTGAATAACATTGAATTTAAAAAACATAACAGGTATTTATGCAAGAGTTCTATATAAAATACTTCATCATACCTCTAATTGCAACAGGAAGAAGTTGTTGCATCAACACGTGATAATCATGTGATTTAAGACCTTTAACACTACAATCTTCTATCTTAACACATTTGGAAATATTTGCACAGTAGCCATCTGGTCCTCTGAAGTCAGATAATCGCTTACAGAATACTTTCTTCTCTGTTTTGGACAGAGACCAAGGACCTGGAGGAAGGTAGGTTCTTTTTCCACGTGTTTGGGGATGTAAATCCTTCCTAATACCAAGCAGTTGCATATCTTTCCGAGCTTTAACACCATCCTTTGATTTCCCAGAATGCAGCATTGTAGAGACAAGGCTAGCGCCAACATTTCTCTCCACGTGCATCACGTCTAGGTTATGCCTAACAGGCATCTCCTACACAACATAATAACAGATAATAAAAAGAAAGTTTAATACATTTACTTTGTAAAATATAGCAAATCTGAATATATAGTAGAATAACAAAAACTAACATATAAATCATACCTTCCAATAATCTAACTTGAAAAATATTGGGCACTTCTTCCATCTGGATAGCTCCTCTTCATCTACTTGGTTTTCCTCATCTTCTGTTTCACTGGATTCATCATCAGTATCAGAGGCTGATCCAACACGATCTTGCATCTTCCTCTTTCTTCCTTTTACTTTTACATTCCCAAAATCATTCTTGTATTTTTTGAGTATTTGATAAATGTTATGACCAGTCAGAATCCTACCTCTTCTTCCATGCTCAGCTTTACCATCAAACCATGCTTTCTTTCCTCTATAAACATGGGTGGGTGACAGAGACTTCCGGTGAGACATATACACGTGCTTTCTACAATTACTCAACCACAAACTATCTGTGTGCTTCCCGCAAACAGGACAACCCATTTTGCCTTTAACTTTGCAGCCTGCTAGATTTCCATATGCCGGGAAATCCTGTATGGTCCACAGAAGCATTGCTCTTAACGTGAATGTAGTGCGACTGAATGCATCATACATTACCTCTCCCTTCTCCCACAGATGGTTTAGATCCTCTATAAGAGGTTCTAAATAGACATCTATATTGTTTCCAGGTTGAGTTGGTCCAGGAATCAGCAATGTCAACATGATGTTCTCCTCTTTCATACACTTGTCAGGTGGCATGTTGTAATTGACTAGCAAAACAGGCCACGCACTATAGTTAACATTTTTCATGTTAAAAGGATTAAACCCATCTGTGGAGAGTCCAAGCCTAATGTTCCTTTCTTCTGTAGCAAATGACGGATACTTTTGATTCATTTGATCCCACGTCACAGAATCTACCGGATGACGCATTTTTCCATCTGTGCTCTTATTAGTGAAATGCCACCGTAAGTCTTTCGCCGTGTCCTCTGACCTGAACATCCTCTTGAGACGTGGAATTATCGGAAAGTACCTAAGTACTTTCTGTGGAGTACCTTTCTTCACCTCACCAGTTCGCGTGTTAATCTTCCATCGCGAAGAATTGCATTTAGGACAAGTGTCGAGCTCCTCGAACTGTTTTCTAAATAGACAACAGTCATTTACACAAGCGTGTATCTTCTCATAACCCATATCAAAAGATTTGAAGAATTTCTTCACTTCATACAAGGATGTGTGCAATACATTGTCCTTGGGTAGCATCTGTTTTAAAGTCTCAAGTAGACTATCAAAACTTTTGTCAGACCAACCACTCTGAGTCTTTATCCTAAAGAGTGAAACAATCGCAGATAGCTTGCTGTGGTTTGTGCAACCTGGATACAGTGGAGTTTCTGCATCAGCTAGCTTGGCTAAGAACTCATCTTCTAACTTATCATCACCATCAGCAACATCATTTAACTCACCCTGACTAACCAGCTCTTCATCCATAAACTCAGCAGCTTTGAACAAACCTAAGATCTCTTGGTTCAACTGGCTTGTATTCTTTCTACACTCAGTCCCTGATTTCACTTCTCCATGATGAAACCAGTCCTCACTCGCCTTGTAACTCCAATCCATTCCCCTAGTTACAAGATGATCAACGACATCAGCGGCTGAGTGGCGATATACGTTGCGACAGTCAATACACGGGCAAACAATCATTGCATTGTCTCCTAAACCTGCAGCCACAGACCTCACAAAATCCCAAGCACCTTTCTCATAACCAGGATCGGTTCTGCAATGAAGTAACATAAAAGCAAAAAAACAAAAGAAAAAAACGAATTACAAACTTTAAAAAATCTTTAACATATCAATTAAACCAATAAACTCAACTATACAAAACATTCTCACATACCTGTTAAGATGAACCCATGTCTTTTCCATAACCATTATATGTCCTTACCCATAAAGAAAACAAAACAAACACATAAGAATAACACAAACACCAAACAAATACCAAACAAACACCAAACACATTCACAGCAACAGTTTAGTAAAACGAAATATCAAACAGCCAATTCAGTCAACTCTTAAACAAATCAATCAATTTCAAGTTCATTGTGAATACTAGCCTCTTTGTTCTGATGCAAACAGGCAGATGATGCAGACAAGATGCAGGCAGAAGATCCGCTCGATGAGATGATTCCCTTTCAATGTTAAAATGAGTCAGAAATCAATTACTAGTAAATAGTCATGAACTCAAATTACCCAAATGAATGTCGTATACCTTTCAGGTGGAGGAGATCAGATGGTTTCGAAACTACTGAGACAGAGAAGGATAGAAACAGATCTATTGAGACAGAGAAGCTACTGAGTTCGAGGCTAATGAGACTGAGATCGCGTGAGCTATTGAGACAGATACAGACACGGATTCGAAGAGAGACAGAGACGGAGAGAGACGGCGGCGGCGGAGAGATATGGCGACGGCGGAGAGAGACTGTGGCGGATCAAGAAACAACGGTGGAGAAAGAAGGAGAAAGACAGAGACGGAGAGTTGAGAATCGATGGAGATTGTGGTGTTGATAATCGAGATTTCTTCAATGGGAATCAAGAGTTCATGCAATGGGTATTCAGATTTCACAATGGAATTAATGCTTTTTGTTTTTGGGTTTTTGGTTTTTTTTTTGCTAAGTCCTTTTTGGTCTGAAGACTTAAGAGAATCGAGACTTTTTTTTTTGTTTTGGGGGAAAACCCCAATTAGTTTGCCTCCAAAATTACCCTTTACCCCTATAATACTGAGTTAAGTTCCCGCTTAATAAAAAACTATATCCTAGCGTTAATATAGTGCTGCGAAATACTTGCCATCCGATTTTGGAACTTTTAGTAGCAGTTCGTAAATTGCGCTACAAAGAACTGCTACCGAAGCTCATTTTTCTTGTAGTGTTCAATTTTTAAATCAACAAAATCTATTCATTGGTTATAAAGTCGTATTCTTGCTGTTTCCAAGTGTCTGGATTGGTTAGGCTTCTTTCAATAATATTGTCTCCTTGTACTTGTTCATCTCTAGAAGATAAATACTTCTTAACCTTATCAAGAAACTCACTTCCCGACATATTATCAATGGCTATATCAATATCATTACTCTCTTTCCCTAGAAGCTTGTCAGGCACCCAACCACCCGCGACACGAAGCTGTGTGTCGAGGTTACAATGACAAAGAGTACCAAGAAGCCGGTCAAAGATTTTCCGCTCTTTCTCAGCCTGATCAATCTTCTCCTTTAATTCAACCAGTATCATTACTCTCTTCTCAGCCATTAACTACACAAGCCTTACAAATCTCCAATCATTTTCTACAGAACGCAAGCTTGGTTTGAACTTGCATGGAATCAGAAGCGGGTACGCGGAAGCGAAGCGTTTGGAAACGTGGAAGCGATTTTTATAGAAATTATAGAAAGTGGGTAGGTGTTGGAAGCGTTTATTAAAATTAATATATTAATATATACATATATTATAAAACATTAAACATTATATCATATAAAACATAATAATTAACATAAAAATCTTATATATAAATATAAATACTCAACTATATTTAAAAATCAATAGTGTACGTTTATAATATAAAAAAGTCAAATAGTTCAAAGTCAAAATTTAAGATCATTATCTTTATTCTCTTTTTTTTTTTTTTTAGACAAAGGCGTGTTTTCATTCAACTAAAAAAGAAACCAAGTACAAGGATAAGAGGATACTGAGATCCCAAGTTTAAATTACGACAAAGAAGGGCATTCCCCAATGCCAAACAAAGGTAAACAAACGGTTAGATAAAGTACATCAACAAGGGTTCCATGAGAGCTTTGAACCAAACATTTGGAGGCAATTTGGTACATGTGACACTACAAGAAAACAGTCGCTTTGCGACGGAAGGTTGCGAGGGAAGCCGTTCCTCGCAAATTTGCGAGGGAATTGCAAGTAATTGCTACGAAAAGGACGCGGGTTGCGAGGGAATCTTCCTCGCAAATTTGCGAGGCAGTTACGAGTAATTAGCGGGAAATATTTACTCCGTCGCAAATAACCCGCACATACCTCGCAAATCTTTACCTAAACCCTAAAATACGTAAAACTGTTTTGCGAACTTTGATTTTCATTTATAAATGTGAATCTAAGAAGCCATATAATCAGACAAGTTGATATATTGTGATGCATAAAAAAATGTTGGAATAGGTTTCAATATTAACATTTTTAAAAAAAATGTTATAACATTGGATTCATATTATAGAAAAACATAAGATGATCATTAAGAAAATGCACATTCGGATGAATTCGAAGTATATGATCAGAAAGTAGATTCTAATGTAGATAATTAACTTCCTAGTGATTAAAGAAAATGAATCTTAATGATTTTAAGTAGTGTTTTATTGGTTTTTTCAAATTGATCTCTAGTTTGCGAGGGTTTTGCGAGAGTTTTGCCAGGGATACTAGTAATTCCCTCGCAAAACTAAAACCCTAAATAATGAATTTGCGAGGGATTTGCAAGGCGTCGTAGCACTTTCCCTCGCAAATCTTTACCCTAAACCCTAAATTATTTAAAATAATTAGTTATGTTTTTTTTTCTTTCTGAGGGACTTTCTAGAAATAGGAAAATGAATAAGATATGATTAGTAATATTTAAGCATGTCTTTGTATTTTTTAAAAACCCTAAACCCTAAATTATTTAAAATATTTAGTCATGTTTTTTTTATGAGGGAGTTTCTAGAAATAGAAAAATGAATCAGAAAATGAATAAGACATGATTAATAATATTTAAGCATGTCTTTGTGTTTTTTAAAAACCCTAATGAAGATTAATAATATTTAAACATGTCTTTGTGTTTTTTAAAAACCCTAATGAAGATTTTGCGAGGGATTTACTAGGTAATCTCGCAATTCCCTCGCAATATATGCCTCGTTTTGATTGGTTGTTTTTGGCGGTTCCTCGCAAAATCCTAGCAAATTTTGCGAGGGATTTGCGACGTGTCAAATATCTATATATGCTAATGACCTAGTTGAGCGAAGCTCAAACCAGCCGCATATCGCGAAAACCCTAATTCACCGATTCTTTCTTCCTTCGCCGATTCTCTCTTTTTCCGATCTCTTCTTTCGCCGATTCTCTTCCTTTCTCCGATTCTCTTCCTTTCTCCGATTCTCTCCTCTCTGGTTCACTTCATACTCGATTCTCTCTTCTCCGGTCTCCGATTCTCAGATCTGAAGATTTTGCGAAAGGTTTTAGTGTTTGCTCTCTTTATACTTTGTATTTTCTTTGTCGATTTGAATTGATTTTGGTTTGATTTCGTGTTAATTCGTTTTAGGGTTCTTTAGGGTTTGATTTGTGGTTTTAAATCGATTTAGGGCTTGGATTAGGGTTTGAATTTGGGGTTTTAATTAGGGTTTCAATTAGGGGTTTAAATCGGATTTTAATTAGGGTTTTAAATCGATTTAGGGTTTGGATTAGGGTTTGAATTTGGGGTTTTAATTAGGGTTTCAATTAGGGTTTAAATCGGGATTCAATTAGGGTTTTAAATTTTCTTGTAGGGTTTGATTTGGGGATTTAATTTGGGGGTTTAATTTAGGGTTTTAAATCGGGTTTCAATTAGGGTTTAGAATCGACTTAGGGTTTGATTTGGGGATTTAATTTGGGGTTTTAATTAGGGTTTAGATTAGGGTTTGATTCGTGCATCTTTCTCTGTTTTCTTTCTCTGTTTTGGTTACTAATTTTTTCTTTTTTTTTCTCGTAGATGTCTTTCTCTGGAAACGATTACAGCAGGTTTCTATCTCAAGGGAATGCACCTGTTCCTCGTGCTTCCAGATCTCAAGGCACTGTTCCTCGTGCTTCCAATTCTCATGGGAATGCATCTAGAAACTGTAATCCACCCTCACCAGCCAGTCAAAACCAACAAGCCGGTCTGTCTCCTCCACCATCCAATCAAAACTCTCCTAATCCATCTCATTCAGCTACTCATCCACCAACTGGGCGTCTCAACGATCTGACATTGGAGGAGCTCCTTGACAGTCCGGGGCGTCAGTCTCTTCAGAGACTAGATCCAAATCGTCCTCCGGGAACTCTCTGGTAAGGAAACTTGGATATATGATTCATTGTATTTTAATAATGTAGATTCTCATTGTAATTGATTTTTTTGTTGTAGGTTTGACATTGATGTATCAGTTGCAGCTTCTGTCCGCAAGATTTTTGAAAGAGATTTCAAGGAACCTCATGCCAATTGGACACAGACTCCTGATGCAGTGGTCAATCGTTGGTATGAGACTTTTGCGGTAAGTGAAATTGTTTAGTTTAGCTTTGTTTTACTCTACAAATGTATGTGATGCTATTTCTGACTCTGTTTTTATCTTGAAGCAAATGTACAACTGGGACAAGTCCATAAATGAGAGAGTTAGAGATGAGTTTGAGGACAAGTTGAAGGATAGGATGTCTGATCAAGTTTCTCGGTGGAAGGAAAGTTGAAGAATAAAGGTGATGAGGCAAAGCCTAAATGGATTGATCCTGAAGTGTGGGCTGGACTTGTTCGTTTTTGGCGTGATCCTAAGTCAGAAATAGGAGTATCAACAGTAGAAATGCTCGATATCATGATCCCGTTGGCCTTGGTATATCTAAACACCGTTCTGGCCAGACCTCTTTCAAATCCCGTGCCAGAAAGCATGTAAGTTAACTCTGTTTTCTTTCTCATACATATACTTATGCATATTGAACTAACACTTAAATCTTTTTCTTTTGTTTTAGTGTGAGGAGACTGGTGATTCAACACCAGATTTTCTGGTGGTTCTTGAGCAAACTCATCGCAAACCTGATGGGACTTTCATTGATAGAAAGTCAGAGGAGATCTACAAGGAAGTGTCATCAAGGATTGAAGAGGAGGAGTCTCAGCTGTTTACAGGGGATAATACAGAGAGCTCTGCTTCAGGTGGATTATCAGTGGCTGCCAAGAACAAGATCTATGCTCAGGTAATCCTGTATATTTCAATTCAGAGTGTCTTTAATTAGTACTTAGTCTTTGTGTGTTGTGTGATTATGTGATTATGTGATGATATGATGTTGGCAGCATACTTGTGTGATGATGTTAGCAGCATACTTGTTAGCAGCATACTTGTTAGCATTATATTTGTGTGATGATGTTGGCAGCATACTTGTGTGATGACCAAACGTCATTAGTACTTAGTCTCTTGGCAGTCCACTCATTATACTTGTGTGGTTTGTATCAGGTTGCTCCAAGGAAGAAAGGAAGGTTGTATGGGGTTGGTTCTCTGCAGAATGAAGCATCCTCAGTCCATGTTGGTCCACTGCCTACTCATAATGATCGAGAGGTTCTATTGGAGAAGCTTGCTGCTGCTGAAGCTCGTCTTCAACTTCAGGCTGAGAAGATCAATAGCTTCGATGCCTATTGGCAATACCTCGCAGAGAAGGATCCAGTGTTTGCAGGCATGTATCAAGGACCATCCGAACCGGCAAATGCAGAAGCCACAAGAACTGCGGAGGGCAACGAGGCCGGAGGCGATCAGACCGGAACCGATCAGACCGGTGGAACTGAGACAGGAACTGGTACCAGACCAGCCTCCTCTACTTCACAAGCTTTTTAATTTCTCTGTGTTAAGACTTGGTTTAAGTCTTGGTTTTGAATTTGTTTAAGACTTATGTTTTAAGATTTGGTTTAAGACATGTTTTGAATGTACACTTATGTTTTTGAATCATTTAGGAGTTAATTCAATGTTTTACTAATTTCATTTATGTTTTTGAATGTTTTTGAAAATGTAATTAAAATCACCAAAAAAATAAATCAGGATAAAATTCGTAAATGAAAAAACAAAAAAAAGACTCGCAAAAGACTTGCAAATCCCTAGCAAAATTTGCGAGGGAAGTGCTACTCATAATTATTGCGAGGGATTGTGGTCCTCGCAAAATATGCGAGGGAAATAAGTTCCTCGCAAAATTTGCGAGGCACTTACGAGTTATTACATTTGCGAGCCGCGTTTTGCGAGGAATGACGTGGCGTAGCAAATCCCTTGCTACAAGCGTTTTGCGAGGGATTTACGAGGAATCCTTCCCTCGCAAAACAGATGTTTTCTTGTAGTGTGAGATCAGAGATTGTTGACAATTCTTTCACAAACAAATCAGTGGATGAAAGGTTGGTCATTGTCAAAAGACGTAGTGACGTTGAAGAAGAAGCCAAAGACATGGATCTCGCTGGCACGAGAAAAACTACACGAAGTAGTGCTTTGGCTAGGATTCGAACAAGATCATTATCTTCATTCTCATTTTACTAATTCCATCAAATAAAATTGTTTTAAATTTTGTTTTACCAATAAAAACATAATCAAACACAAGTTTCTCGAAATTAATTTAATTCAATTAATTATTCCAACATATCCCAAATAAATGATCTATGTCGTTGTCATTTTTTGTAAGATGATCCTTTTAAAAATAAAATACAAATTTAGTATGCAAAATTAGTTTTGGTTTTTCTTTTGCTGTATTATTGGCTTGGTAGAATGTACCAAATCATTTACATGAAAACTGAAAGTACCAAAAAACATATCACTTGGATGTATTTGGCTTGTTTGAGATTTAAGTCAATTAGATCATTTTGTTTGCTTTTACTTTAAAAAAGTCTTCTGCCACTTTGGTCACATGCACAGCTCAATTGTGACTCGTCGTCAATAAGCCAGTTTTTCAAACATAGAGCAAACAAGTAAAAGAAAAAGAGGACAATGTCTTGTAAAAGGAAACAACAATCAAAGATGCATAATCATGTTCAACCAAGATAAACCATTTTGATCCACACATCTCTTTAGCCCACATTTAAGTAAATAGACCTAAAGAAGAAGATGACACTCCAACTTCCCTTGAACCCATTCTTGTCGAACACCATTATTGTACAAGACCAAACTCTATATCTCGTTAAATTTATGGTTACTACATAAAACTTCTCACATACTCATGATCTTCACTTACTTAGTCTCTAATTTCTCTTTCAAGGATCATGAGATCGTACCTCCGGCAAGTCATGTCTTTGTCTTTCATTACCATATCAGAGAGTTACATGACAAAGAGCCTACTCCTCATATTGATATCAAAGAAGCTGTTATGAATTTGTTGAGCATCGACAAGTTTACTTTGTATGTATACAATGTTAAAACTAGATTTGTACCAATAGCTCTAACCACTACGGAGATCGTAGATTGTTATCAAGTTCAAGAATTGGTCTGTCTTTTGAAAAAGGGTATTCCAAAGAAGAGAAAACAGTATGTAATCACATCTTTCACGCTACTTGCATCTCAAGTAGAGCTGTCAAATGGTCCGTCCAGGAACCATTGGGCCTGTCCGTACAGACAGTTTTTTTTATGGGCTAAGTTGGACGGTCCATAATAGACAATGGTCCAAAAAAATGTCCATGCCCAATAAAGACCATGTCCATATGGACAGCCCATGGTCAGCCCGTTTTATTATTGTTATTATTGATCAATCAAAAATCATAATTTTAGAGGAAAAATTGAGAAACTGCGTTTTTCGGCCAAAATTGTAAAAATTGGAGACTTGCGTTTTTCCGCCAAAACGGTAAAATTGCAAAATTGTGTTTTTCTTACCAATACAATAAAATCACGATTTTGGCGGAAATATTATGGAATTGTTTTTTCCCGCCAAAACGGTAAAATCGTAAAATTATTTTTTTCACCAATACAATAAAATAACGATTTAAGGGGAAAATTGCGTTTTTTCGCAAAAAACCGTAAAAATCGAAAAATTGCGTTTTCCCGTCAAAACCGTAAAATTGTGTTCTCGCCAATACAATAAAATCACGATTTTGGTGGAAAATTTTCGGAATTACGTTTTTCCGTCTAAATCGTAAAATCGGAGAATTGTATTTTCCCGCCAAAACCGTAAAATCGAAAAATTGCATATTCAAAAAAATTGTGGAAGACTGTCTTTTCTTCAAAATCGCAAATAATTTAATAATAAATAATTTATTAAAATTTAAATATTTCATAAAAATAGAAACTTATAAATGTAAAATATAATAATTTGAAAATTATGTAGTTGTAATTGTAATTAAAATCATAAAAATATGATTAAAATGAAGAGATGTCAATTGACTCAATTCTTGTAATTGGACTGCCCATTGTCCATATGATCAAGCCCATATTGTCCGCGGACAAAATTGGTCATAGGCCCAATTAGACCATTTGTTTTTTGGTCCGGACCATAGGCCGCCCATATGCATTTGGACTGGGCAAGCCCATAGGCGGCCCGCCCAATTGACTGCTCTAATCTCAAGTTACTTGTTGCTTTCCTTCTTAGATTTGTCTTCTGTCGACATCCGAATTCTCCTCTTCTAGACATATTTACTACATATAATAAACTTGTCGACAAGTTATTATGTGGCAAGACCATCATGTTCTGCTTGTTTGCTTTAAATTTTTGTCTTGTTAATTGGGTACATTTGCTAGCTAGTATGATAGAGGTTCATGTTCTGCTTGATGATTATTTAAGATATTTATTCACCGAATTTGGAGTTTCCGTGCTTGAACTTGACTTCTCATGGATAATCTATGGTAAAGGCGACTTCAACTCTCTAATGAGTTTATCATTAGAGTTTGAATCAAAGCAACTTAATAAAGTGAAAAGAATACTGGGGGTGATTGGCACAAGGCTTTAAAGACTTTAGAGCTATTCTAAAGTCTTTACAGTATTTTTTTTGCCAATTAGGCTTTTATGACTTTAATTAGTTTTAAAGTTCTCAGAGCCTTTTTTTCTTTTTCCTTCTTTATTTTTCTTGTTTTTCTAAAGTCTCAAAAACGTGGCTTTAGATTTCTGGGGACATTTATCAAATGAATAAAAATTAAAAAGCTTTTTTTTCTTATCCCTATGATAATTAAAAACTCTCTACATGTTTACATATATCTTTTCATAATTTTTTTTTTATAAATTAATTATTCTCATTTTTCTATCTTTCTTTTAAGACCCATTTCACTAATAATCATTTTATTTTCTTCATCATCATCATTAATGTTGGTTTAAAAGAGTATATAGAATATTCAATTAGAATATAAAAAATATAGTATTTTTTTTCAAAAGCCATATAAGTTTTTTAAGTTTATCCCACTTCTTACTAATGTGTGGTGAATTTAGAATATTCATTTCTAAATTTTTATCATTTCTTTGAAATAAATATTTTATTATTAATAATGGATTTTAAGTTCCTATCAAAACAAATAGAGAAATTGTTAAAAATGCCCCTTTTGAGATGCCCCTTTTCAAAAATACCCCTTTTGAGAGTCCATTTTTAAGTTTGCCTCTTTTAATTTTTAATGACCATTTTACCCTTATTTGAAACAAAATTAGGTCCACAAAATACAAAATATTTTTTGGCGGGAAAAGTGATTCCGCAAATTTTGGGCGGGAAATGTGACCCCGCAATTTTCCCGCCAAAAATTTTTTTTTGCGGGAAAAGTGATTCCGCAATTTTTTTGGCGGGAAAATTTTTGGCGGGAAAAATTTACAAGGTATTTAAAAGATTTTACAGAGTATTTACAAGTGTTTTGTAAGGTTTTACAATGTATTTTAAAAGGTTTTACAAGGTACTTATAAGGTTTTATAAGGTATTTATAACTTGTAAAACCTTATAAAAAACTTGTAAAACCTTATAACTTGTAAAACCTTATAAAATAGCTTGTAAAATCTTATAATATCTTATAAATACCTTATAAATACGTTGTAAAACCTTTTAAAATACATTGTAAAACCTTATAAATACCCTGTAAAAACCTTTAAAATACCTTGTAAATTTTTCCCGCCAAAAATTTTCCCGTCAAAAAAATTGCGGAATCACTTTTCCCGCAAAAAAAAAATTTTTGGCGGGAAAAATTTTTACGGGAAAATTTTACAAGGTATTTTAAAGGTTTTACAAGTTTTTACAAAATCAAATTTGTAATTTTGATGTGTGCACATTCTCATGTTTTTCTTATATATTTGTGATATCTTTTATTAAAAGAAGGGTAATTTAGTCATTTTGTACATAAAAAGGGGTATTTTTAAAAATGGACAGCCAAAAGGGGGCATTTTTGAAAAGGGGTATTGAAAAAGGGGCATTTTTGTGAGTCTCCCAAACAAATAATGGATTATTAGTTTTTTTTCAGATTGCAATGTTTGATTATTAAAAATGAGTGAATATTATATATTATTTTATTTCTGGAGAATATTTATCTATTTATTTATTCATTTATTTATCAATTTATGATTTTTTCTAAATTCTTATCATTAATAAAACTATATTTGCATATGAATTCATTTCTAACATAATTTATATTTATTATTATTATATAATAATAATAATAATTATAATAATTATAATTATAATAATAATAATAATAATAATAATAATAATAATAATAATAATAATAATAATAATAATAATAATAATAATAACAGTCACAACTTCAACAGTTTTGTGTTACCAATCAGATTTTAACAGCCAAAGCTTCTATAGTCAAAGTCTTTACAGCCAAATTCTCTGCAGCTCAAATTTTTAAAGTCAAAGCTTCTAAAGCCAAAACTTACAGCCGTTACCAATCGGCCCCACTATTACAACTTGTGCTTAAACGATACCAAAACAGG